ATCGATAGCGACTCCTGGCAGAACACAGGGTTGCTTAAATACCAAAAAATATTTTCTGACTTGGCATGATCGCCCGAATGTTATCCGTCCGTTGACCGGGAAAATTTGAACAACGGGGACCCGGGACGTTTTTTTTTTTGAGGATCCGCTGGGAAGCCGGTGCTGGAAATATCCTAGACCTGACTGGAACCAGTGAGACCCATATAAGTAGCAGCCAGGTCAACCAAGTTGGCCTGGCGATTTTTTTTTGAGGACGGGAATGATAGCTCCAAAAGTACTGTACGGTCCGTTTAAAGGATTATAATTACTGGCCCAATGTCTGGCGTGATTGTTCCCCCGGGCCAACAGCATATATTTGTTGGTTAATTGTCGTCGTGGAAGACCGACACGCCTTCCAAGAGGCGGCAACGGGAGCCTTTAGGCTTCAGCCAATTTTTTTTATTAGTTTTAGTATATTTAAATTATTTTATTTTGTCTTGTTCGTCTTCTTTATTCTCTTATTTATTCTATTTATTTATTCCACTTATTTATTTATTCACCGACCCATGTTTTTTTGAGAATTTACTTATATTATCTACATGTATATATTTTATCTACATTCTTATTTACACACCGAATAATGTGCACGTTTATGTCAGCATCTTTTTAAGAGAGATCTCTGATCCAGTACCAGGGATTTTCCCCTTAATTTTCTATGAGTAAATATATTTGTTCAAACAAGTGTCCGCCTTGAGAGCTCTTACGGTAGGATTAGGATAGAACTGAGGAGTCTTTAGGAAGGGAGTTGGCGAATGGGTTACTCAGATCGGCTTTAAAAATACATTAATAAATTAATTAATGTACAATAAACGACAATTTATGTTGGTGAACATGGAGTAGAGTAAATTGGATAGGAGAAGGGACCACGTAAGAATGGGTGTGTAAGTGAGTACGAGGGGTTTGAAATGTTTGGGCCGGCTGCTGAACAAGATAGCTCAAGGCAGGTCGCAAGGTCGGGGGGATGAGCATGTGACCTCCAGTCCATCAGGATTAAATTTGAATTCATATGTTACGGTGCAGGTGATAGCATTGACAAACGTCGGTTTCATGGAGGTGTGAGTCCGGCGTTAAATTCTGTGAGTGTGTGATCGGACAGGGTTCGGGGATCCACGGCCCAGGAAGGTGAGCTAGCCTAGGAAACCCGAAACATCATGCAGGACCAACCAGGTCCATAACACATTGAAGGATAGATAATACGTAGGAACGCATGTATCAAATACTGGGTATTTATTTTATTCAGCGTTGAAAGTTTGCCTTACAAAAGCAGTAAATTCATGTAGCTGACTTTGTCCGATATTTTATTCAGTTTTGCACCCGTGTCGATAGTCAGCTTAATCGTTGGGTGATGTGGGTCTACAGGTAACGTAGTTGCAGACGTTCTGACTATGCAAATGGAATCTGAACTGGAAACAAGCACAAGTCCAGTAAACGTCCTAACATTTTTCGAACATGGTTTACTTGAGATAACGAAATGTCAAGCAAACCGCCAATAAAATCATGCTTCGCCGAAGAAATTAATATATTGGAAGTTTCTACGGTGTACCATGTTGCTCTATGTATATTCGAGCCAACTAAAACTATCAACTGATCCCTATCTGAAAGTTTATTTGAGATAGCCTGGATAGCGGACATCTGATTCACATATATTGGAAATTCAGATGACGGCAAAATATAGGAACGTATTATGTTCATAGAACTACCGGGAAGGAATAGTTTTATAACCAGAAATTCGATGTAGTTTCTTTCCTCGAAAATTAGTACTTCAGATGTTAATTCCGAGTCACACCGTATACGTCGGGTGTGTACTTGCGTGGAACTTCGAAACTAAGAATATAAATAAGAATAAGAAGTTAGAAGAAGAAGTTAGTAAACCTCTTGTATTCTGATAAGAAGTCAGTAGAAAACAATCTGGTTTTTTGGGATAGAAGAAGAAGAGGTCACTGTGGACGGCTCATTAGAGGGATTTGCCACTCTCTTTCAACGAATTTTCTTTTTTTTAGCTTCGTACTCTTAACAAAAATGTCTACAAGTCAAAATTTGGCGGAGCACACAGTTGCAAAATCAGCAACAGGAATACCAATCTTAGTATATGAAAATTATAATTGTTCAACCATTACATCGTCAGCCTTAAATTTTTTTGTCAAAATTCAGCCATGAAACAAATACTTGTTTCCGTTGCGGTACACAGGGTACAGGTTTTGGAACCACGCAAGTGACAGGTTTTGGTAGTACAGCATTAATGTCGGCACCATTAGTTTCAGTCGATACTCCAAGCCTTAAGTGAACATGCGGCGCTTAAATCAGTGTTGTATTATTAACCTCCGATTATTGGGGTTTCTCTGGCGGACATCTCGCGAACTGTACATTCGGAAACAAAATTTTGTTTAGCCGTCGACCTCAGTAACATTTGTGCGGTGACTGAGATTAATTGCTGTGCTGTAGACCCCGGATCGCCAGAGGGAGTTTCACTGGTGTGGGCTGTCTATCGACCGCGATCTTTTTGCGCTTAGGAGAATCAGTCTCCGTTATCCAGTAAGGATCGCCGTCTTGCATTTTTTATTGCGATATATTGGACAACTGTACAATTAAAGCTACACATAGATAAGAGGGAGTTAAAGAGTGGAAGCCAGTAAGCGTAAGGGAGGAGATTGGGAGCGTAAGATTTTGCTGTTCGAAACAACAAAGCTTAGCGCATGAGTGCGGGAAAGCGGGTAACTACCGTTTGGACTCTAAGTGCTGAAAACAGCGTTTAGAATAAAAAGAAAAAAGGCAAAGATAAAATCAAAACAACAATCACCGCACAGAGACTAACGTTCCAAACTAAAGTTGAAAACAGCTTTGAGAATAGAACGAAAGAGACAAAGATAACACAATAACAATAATAACCGAGAGACTATTTTTATACACGTTACTCGTAGAGTAAAAGGGTATACTAGATTCGTCTGAAAGTATGTAACAGGCAGAAGGAAGCGTTTCCGACCCCATAAAGAATATATGTTCTCGATCATGATCACTAGCCGAGTCGATCTAGCCATGTCCGTCTGTCCGTTTGAACGCTAAGATATCGGAAGCTACAGTACTGGAATTAGGCATGCAGATTCCTGAGATTCCTGCGCAGCGCAAGTTTGTTTCAGCAATGTGTCACGCCCACTCTAACGCCCACAAACCGCCCAAAGCTGTGGCTCCTACAGTTTTGATGCTAGACAATTTTAACTTGAATATATTGTTCTCATCACCTAAAAAAAAGTTTTCCACGCCCACTGTACCGGTAACAAACCGCCCACAAACTTCAAAAAATCGTAATTATGAACGCGGATATCTCGGAAACTATCAAAGATAGAGAAATGGATTTAGATTCCGTAGCCCTGTATGCAGCGCAAGTTTTTTACGCAAATATGCCACGCCCACTCTAGCGCCCACAAACCGCCCAAGCCTGTGGCACCCACAATTTTCATGCTAGTTACAAAATTTTAACTGAAATGTATTGGTCTCGTCAGTACCTAACGATTGACCCAAAAATAAGTTTTCCACGACCACTCTAACGCCTATAACGCCTAAATCTGTCTACCGCCCGCCCACATAACCATATACTGAGATCGCGGGTAGGTGGCGCATTTACTGCTTGCATATCTCCTTTTCCCTTTGGTCCCTTTAGCTGAGTAACTAAAGTTGTTAATTTAAACACAAAAACAATGACAAGGCATGCGAAGCGAACGGAGGTTGTAAGAAACATAACAAAAATAAAATGTTTTAAAAAAAAAGTTTAGCCCCCGATGGTTTATTTATAATTTTTAACAGAGAATTAGCATAACGAAAAAATTAAAAAAGGAGACTGTTAAGCTAACAAGCTCTTTTGTTAGCTATTTAAAAAACAAATCACAAGGCGAGATAAATTCAATACTTCAGTTAATTAACGTTTATATACAAGGACTACGGGCTTTGCGAACACCGCAGCTTGCAAGTAACAACAACAAAACCAAACGTTTGCGCAGGCGACGGAACGTACGAGTTGAGAGGTGGGCTCAGACTATGTACTGCAATTAACAGAGAGATAAGAGGAGCCGCTTAGAAATGAGTGATTCTGACTCTCTCTTTAGGTGCAGTTGTTAGATCCTTGACAAGCTCTAAGTGCACAGCTTTGCTTGTAAAGCAGATGGTGCGGACTTCTGATTTGAAGAAGGGCCCACAATAGTCTACGCCAGAAACAGCAATGGCCCGTGCGCACTCCAAACGCTCCATCGGAAGATTAGCCATGCTTGGTTCCAGAAATTTGGGACTGGCCCAGAAGCACTCCACACAGCCTTTCACTACTTTTGAGACCGATCGCAGTCCTCTAATAGGCCAGTATTGTAGTCGGATGCTTGCCAACAAAGCGCGCGGTGAGTTGGTGGCGACGTGGCACTATTATTGGAGGGCGAGCCTCATATGCAAGTTTTTCGAGGTGTCCACCAACTCAAAGGAGGCCAAATGCATCTATGAAGGGCAATAGCGAAGCAACTTGATTTCTTAAACAATGCCATTTGAACGTAGCTCCTTTATAACCTCCCATAAATGAGCCAGTTGGACGCCAGAGCATATATATCCCACGTTGCACATCAGAGCATGCGCTGCATGAAAGGGAACGAGTTGCCATATTTGGATCTAAGGGTAACATCAACGTGAATTGACCATCAGCACCGGTTTACTTAATTCGTATGCACGGATCGTCATAATGCAGACGCGTAGGCCAATCCTTGCGACCACGAAACCAGATCTCTGAAAGCGCCAGTTGATCCGGAGTAGTGACCCTGGACAAAACGTCGGCAGGATTCAATGCAGTCGGAACATGGTGGCATTCCATATTAGCAGTCAATTCCTGTATAGAAGCCACTCGGTTTGCCACGAAGACGTTGAATTTGAAGGGCTCATTACTGATCCAGGATATAGCCACAGAGGACTCACACCAGCAATAAAAATGACCATTGAACATACAAATTTTAATTACTTCATTCATCAGCATACGGCTAACAGCACGGCGCCGCATAACTCCAGCTTGGTTGTTGTGCTTTCCTCCTATAGAATGCAATGGTGCGGCAGGAAATACTTGCAAAGGCCCACAGCCTCGGAGCTGTCTCTGGCCTTGTGGTTTACCTCCAAGTATTCCTTAATAAAGGCAACATGTTGATGTTTCAAATGGGGATTCCTTTGCAGTTCGCGTTCAAGACTAAGAATCCTTCGGTGTGCCTGTGTGTAGGAATCGCCAAGAGCTTTAGCATGGGGCTTCATTGGCAAGCGAACGGAGTAAGCGCCAGAGGGAAGACGATAGAAGTTTTTGATAAAATGATCCTCACACTCCAGCTCATCCTTGCTGGCCATTATGACTGTCCAAATTTTCGACTTCCCAAAGGTGCCTAACCAGATCCTCCAAGCGGACATGATGTAGGGTATCGCCATTTTCCAAGCCTTGAGATGCCAAAAGAGATGTATTGCCGCGAACCCTATCTCCACCACCAGTCACGATCCAGTCAAGACGAGTCTTTTGCAGTAGAGGCAATCCATGAACCAGCTTAATTTGGCCCTCGCATAACAGATCATAAAATAGTTTAGCACCAAGGAGCAGGTCAAAGCGCTGGGGGCAGTTGTGCTGTTAGAGACGCAGAGTATTCAGAAGAACCCGATTGGAGGCAGATGTTGACTGTAGATCCTTCTGAAGAAACAGCTGTATCACCAAGGCCAGTTACAGTTGCTGCTGACCGATATTTCCTTAACTGCAACTCCTGGGTGGAGCGAGATGTAATTAGGTGTAGTTGAGATCGAGAATCTAGTAAGACTCGGCAGGGAACCAGGGAACCGGCTCTGTTCTTTACAAGAACTATAGCGGTGGCCAAGAGCTCAACTGCAGAATGTAATCTTTGGGCCGCCAGAGAGACAGATGGCTGCGAGTGTGCTGGGAAACATGAGGCATTTATTTGATGAACAGGAACTTGCAACGGTGAATGGGCGTTGATGGAGCAGCGTGTGGTGTTTTTCACCGCATGTGCGGAATTGCAAGTTCGAGTGTGTTGCCCCTTCTTTAGGCAATTGAAGCACAGGGAAAGTCTTTTTACTTCCCTTTGCCGAAGACTAGGTGACAGACCGGCGAGGGAACCACAGGAGTATATTCCATGACCAGGAGTATCACAAAAGAAGCAGCTACTCTGGCTGATCTGGGCACGAAGTAACGTCCTTCTGGCAGGCCTTGGAGCTGCATGGTTAGACGCCAAGGCATGCTGAACGCTCTCCAGTTTCTGGCATCGCCCTTCAAGGTACGAAAGCAAATCCTCCTCGCTTGGAATCCTACTCATTGACAAGCTTTCCTCCCAGTTAGCTTGAGTTGCTGCATCCAATTTTTGCACAATCATGTATACAACCATGCAACCTGAGATTTGTTTTAAATCTCCCAAGGCCTGAAGCGCTCGCATATGCCAAATAATTTTGTCCGAAAAGTCCAGCAAGGCCACTGCAGACGAAGACTCGAGTCTCTTGAGCCCAATAATTTCCTTGATGTGTGCCTTGAAAACAAGACGTTTATTATTAAAGCGCTTATTTAGGATGTCCAGTCCCACACGATAATTGACACCAGATATTTCTAATGAGCGAACCGACTCCCACGCAGCTCCAGCTAAGCATGACCGCAAATGTTGACGCCTTTCTATCATTCAAGTAGGGGTCCTTATCTATCACCGAGGTAAACATAGAGAGGAAGTCAGAGAATTAGGTGAATCCACTGGAGAATGTAGGCAGCTTTACTTCGGGCAGGCGAGTCCTATACACTCGATTAACCATGACAGTTGAATGATCCAGGCTGGGATCAAGGTGCATGGTGGAAGATGTTGGCACTCGAAGCTGGCAGTTGTCAAGTTGCAGCCTCTTGGCCGATACCATGAGCATTTCAAAATTTTCGCTAAGCTCACTGCCGAATTCCGAATAATCTAGCTCCTCAAACGCATTGTAGGTAAGCCTGAAGGAGGCTTGAGTATGCTCAAGAAGTTCCAGCCGAACTGCCAACTCCGCGGACCCAAGCAGGCAAATCTTGTCTTTAGCTAGCGAATTTACTAATTTACGTACATGAAAACATTCGTTGAACATTCCATTTATTTTTATTCAAATTTCTTATGTACCAGCAGACTCCTCCTTTTCAAATTTCTCCAATTGATTTGTTTTCTGTTTGGCAACAAACCCAGCTGCTTGACGGTAAGACCATGCTTAATACATTGCGGGTGAACTTTGAAAACTTCGGTCACACTACAAAGAATAAGATTTTTCGACTAGTGAAACTCTTAGCCGATCTGAGTACTAGACTTTAGCTAGCGAAATATCCAGGCGCTTTAAGCTGGTCCTAAAAAAATATCGTATGTTATATAAACGTTAATAAACTAAAGTATTGAGTTTATCTCGCCGGGGCCTCCAAATGTTGAGCTAACAAGCTCTTTCGTAAGCTATAAAAAAAAAACAAATCAAAAGGCGAGATAAATTCAATACTTCAGTTTATTAACATTTATATACAAGGGCTTCGGGCTTTGCGAACACCGCAGCTTGCAAGTAACAACAAAAAAACCAAACGTTTGCGCTGGCGACGGACCGTAGGCATTTAGAGGCGGGCTCAGACTGTGTACTCCAATTAATAGAGAGATCAGAGGAGCCGCTTAGAAATTAGTGATTCTGACTCTCCCTTTAGTTGGAGTGGTTTGCCGCTGCAACAGGGACCCTATTGTATCAAATTATACTTAGCAAGCGTCTTTTAATTACATCCGAATTACTGATTCTTTTTTTAGATTTTCATGCCAAGCCGTTTTTGATGCAGGAGCTCCTTGCTATTTTTTAGGGTCCCCTTTTATATACTTAGTATAGATTTCCTTTCCTTAAACAATCGTCTTGAACACTTCATTGAGATATGTGTTCAAAGTGCTTATTCTTTAAGCCTAGTACTCACATCGACGAAACCAGCGAGCTAGCCTTAGGAGTGAGCGAGAGGCAAATACGCGGCTAACGCTTTTCGTCGGGTCGCGGTACTCAGATAAGCTAAGGAAATACCAGAAAAAATACCAGATTTGGCGAGTGAATTTTCGATGAACGCCGTTAGCCGCGGCCCAAAGAATATGAAATTTAATTTTTGGCGGTGTTGGTGCAGAAGCAGTGGGGGATTTAAAAATTAAAAATGGAAGAAAAACACTAAAAACGGCTAAAGGAGGTCAGTGCAGATGAAAAAGGACGCCTAATCCAAGCTGTTGCCTATTATTGTGGGACTTGACCGACAGGAAGCAATACCACAACGGGGCAAACCCGGAGAATAGTTGAAGCGCTGGAGGAGATCACTAGAGAATCCCAGTGGGAAGGAACATGGGCGGTGTTCGTGCAAAGGCGATGTGGAAACTAAAAATTAAAAGTGGAAGAAAACACCAAAATCGGATGCAGGAGGTTAGTGCAGATGAAATAGGACGACAAATCCAAGCTTATGCGCTTTATTGTGGGATTTCACCTATAGGAAGCAATTTCACAAAAGGGGCGAATTCGGAGAATAGTTGAAGTGGAGGAGATCCTCTAGAGATCCCAGTGGGAAGGAACATGCCGAGTGGGACTTCCATCTCTACATGGACATCCTGCCTGGCCAAAAGAATTTGGTTGCGTTGTACTAATATAAGTATCTTTTTAGCAGAACCACCAGTAATACGATCTCCGACACCACCACACCCAGCTACTTAGCAGCTTAAGCGGCGCTGGAGGACCCGCTGGCTTCTATAGGGAGGAGGAAAATAGGGCGCCCGCTAAGGAATAGTTGGATAAGCCATAGCCAGCTACTGCCAGGATGCTGGGCATCAACGGATCAACCCCGTTCTCCCACTTCCTCAAGGTTCAATATGCCTATTGGGACTCGGAGCTGTACTGCGGTGGAGCGGGAAAGATGGCGAATCATCCGTGGGACGAGAAGGCAACTTTAAACTACTAATTTACATACATGAAAACATTCGTTAAACATTCCATTTATTTTTATTTAAATTTCTTTATGTACCAGCAGACTCCTCCTTTTTAAACATTGAAAACTCCGGTCACACTACAAAGAATAAGATTTTTCGACTAGTGAAACTCTTAGCCGATCTGAGTACTAGGCTTTAGCGCAGTACTCAGAGAAGCTAAGGAAATACCAGAAAAAATACCTGATCTTGTGAGTGGTTTTCGATGAACGCCGTTAGCCGCGACTCAAATTATAAGAAATTTATTTTTTGGCGGTGTTCGTGCAAAAACAATGTGAAAACTAAAAATTAAAAATGGATAGCCTATTCCAAGATGTTATTATATATTATTATTATATATTATTGTCGGACATGTTATTCAGCGCGGTACTCAGATAAACTAAGGAAATGCCAAAAAAAAAAACCTGATCTTGCGAGTGATTTTCGATGAACGCCGTTAGCCGCGGCTTAAAACGTAAGAACTGTAATCTTTGGCGGTGTTAGTGCAAAAACAATGTGAGCAAGGAAGAACGCAAACTTTTTCGAGTCAATCGATAGGTATTGACGAGACCAATACATAACAGTCAACATTTATTTTCTAGCATGAAAATTTGATTTGAGCTCTTTGTGGGCGTTAGAGTGGGCGTGGCAAACCTTTTTTGGTAAATCGATAGGTATTGATGAGATTAATACATTACAGATAAAAAGTTTTTCTAGCATAAAAATTGTGGGCGCCACAGATTTGAGCGCTTTATTGGCGTTAGAGTGGGCGTGGCAAACTTTTTTTCGGTCAATCGATAGGTATCGACGAGACTAATACATTTCAGTTAAAATTTGTTTCTTAGTGTGTGGGCGCCACTGGCTTGGGCGTCTTGTGGGCGTTAGAGTGGGCATGGCACCCTGCTGAAAGCACACTGCTAAATAAACTTGCGCTGCGCTAGAATCTCAGGTTTATATATATCAATTTTCGACTTTCTAGCTTTTGTAGTTTCCGAGATCTCAGCGTTCATCCAGACGGACAGACAGACGGACAGACGGACATGAGTAGATCGACTCGGCTAGTGATCCTGATCAAGAATATATATACTTAATGGGGTCGGAAACGCTTCCTTCTACGTGTTACGAGTGCAGGAGGTCAGTGCAGATGAAAATGGAGGCCTGTTCCAAGATGTTGCATATTATTGTCGGACTTCGCCGACAGGAAACAATATCACAAAACGGCAATTCCGCAGAATAGTCAAAGAGCTGGAGGAGATCGACTATAGAATTTCAGTGGGAAGATACACGACGAGTGGGACTTTGCTCAATACATGGACATCGCAAAGAATGTAAGTTCTGGCCAAAGAATTTGGTTGCGCTTTACTAATAGTAGTATCTTTTTAGCAGAACCACCAGAATGATCTCCGACGAGCTCTCCATTGGCGATCCACAGGACTTTACCTCCACCAGCTATTTCGCAGCTAAAGCGCAGGGTTCTATAGGGAGAAGGAAAAAAGGGCGCCCGCTAAGGGACAGCTGGAGGAGCCATTGCTAGGATGCTGGTCGGCTTTCTGCAGCATTAGACGGAAGACCCCCGTTCCCAATTAAGAGAAAAATTTCAAATGTGTAGAATTGCGTATAAAGTTTTGGAGCAGCGGTTGTACCTCTTGCCAAGAATGACATAAGCTGGAGGCTAATAAAATTCTCTTCACGACGAGTTCATTTGGTGAGTTCCAAGCTCGTTGAAAGGTTCTTTGCTCCTTGAAGTGCAAATACATTTTCTTCTCGAAAAATTCAGAAACTCCATGTATGGAAATCACCTAGATTCTTATAAAATAAATTGTATTGTATTGTATTGTATTGTATTGTATTGTATTGTATTGTATTGTATTGTATTGTATTGTATTGTATTGAATTGTATTGAATTGTATTGTATTGTATTGTATTGTATTGTATTGTATTGTATTGTATTGTATTGTATTGTATTGTATTGTATTGTATTGTATTGTATTGTATTGTATTGTATTGTATTGTATTGTATTGTATTGTATTGTATTGTATTGTATTGTATTGTATTGTATTGTATTGTATTGTATTGTATTGTATTGTATTGTATTGTATTGTATTGTATTGTATTGTATTGTATTGTATTGTATTGTATTGTATTGTATTGTATTGTATTGTATTGTATTGTATTGTATTGTATTGTATTGTATTGTATTGTATTGTATTGTATTGTATTGTATAAATTGTATGGAATTGATCTGCGCGTGCGGCCCCATTAAACGCTGAAGCGGAGATGTAGCGACCTTCCGCCATCTCTTTGTAGCTCACGTATTTCTTATTTGATTAACTAGAGGTCTCCTGATCAGCTGTTATCGGATCGTAAATGGTGGATGTGCTCTGTGGTAATCAAAGATTCACATTTTGTCAAAAATCTCAACCGTTTCTAACGGAGGGACTCTATGGGAAGAGGGTATTATGGAAGAAAAAGTCACTAAAGTAGAATTTGGTCCTGAAGAGAAAACAGGCTATTATACGATAGCTAAGCAATTTGAAAAATAAAGCCTAGTACTCAGATCGACGAAAACCGCGAGCTAACCATAGGAGTGAGCGAGAGGCAAATACGCGGCTAACGCTTTTCATCGGGTCTGTTTTTCAGCGCGGTACTCAGATGAGCTAAGGAAATACTAGAAAAAATACCAGATTTTGCGAGTGAATTTTCGATGAAAGCCGTTAGCCGCGGCCCAAAGAATAGGAAATTTAATCTTTGGCGGTGTTCGTGCAAAGGCGATGTGGAAACTAAAAATTAAAAATGGAAGGAAAACCTCAAAATCGAATCCAGAAGGTCAGAGCAGATGAAATAGGTCGCCAAATCCAAGCTTATGCCCTTTATTGCGGGATTTCACCGACAGGAAGCAATTCCACAAAAGG